GTTACAACTCCATTGTCCAGGGCAGTAGCTGCTGTCACGTGCAGCCACAAGAGCTAGAAGCGGAGCTAGTGCGATAGCACCATCCTACATTGTGTCTCTTTAAATCGCAGCACATACCCGTCCAGCTGACAAGTCGCTGCTCAGGACTGAGGGGTCCTAGAAGAGGTGGTCCTTGCATCGCATCGGCTTTGGGCAGTCTGCAGCCAGATGACTCCTGGGCAGCCCTGGAGTCCAGGGCTGGGCCGTGTGTCTGCGCACAGACGGGGGGAGCTGTGCCCGGGGGCACCTGGAGCACCGCGGGCAGAGCCGGGAGGTGTGGGTGACGGACTGCAGAGGCACGTTCCTGACCCAGGGCCTCGCGAGCAGCACCTATCTCCCGACGGTGCCGCTTGGGCGCCAGCGATAGCGCTGGGGTGCGGGTGGCAGTGGCAGCCACTGCTCCGTGTCAGAGCACGGGAAGAGAATTCCCTTGAACAGATTCCGTGCCCTGGCTATCTCACAGCATAAACAAGGCTGTCAAAAAAATTCCAAGAATCTCCCTGCACATGTGAGCCAAGGTAAGAGGGGAGCGAGCCGCTTCCACTGTGAGGCCCCTGCCTCCTCCGGGCCTGAAGGCCACAGCAGGGCAGGGCAGCCGCGAGGCTGCGCAGTGGGCTGGCGGCAGACCCCCTGCACCCTCTTCTGCACATCTGGGCCCCGTTTGCTCGCCAGGGTGGGTGGGGCAGCGTGGGAGCCTGGAGCCCATGTGCTGGGAGGACCAGCCCAGCTCTTGGGATGGGTCATATTGGAGCAGGGGACTGGTGGCCCTGTGAGCTTCGCACACTTGTGACTGAGAAATAGGCCTTAGCCCCAAGAGCATTCCATCCCAAAGGCACAGTTTCTGTGCTTGTCCCTGGCCTGTGAGCTATAATAGGCTTTCAGGCTTTTTACCATGCAGACAGGACTGAAATTTGCTTTCTCAGCTTTCTTCCCCCTGGAGGAGGTAGGGCAGGGTGCTTGATGGTGGTGGTAGGGTTGTTCCTACTGCCTTGTCCTCTTCCTGGGACCCTGGCTGCCTGCTCAACAATAGACTGGTCCCTCACAGAGAGAGACAGGGTCCTCAAGTCTGCACCCTGGGAACATCCCAGCTTCAGACTCATCCAGAGCTGAGGCCTCCTTAGAAGCTCATCTTGCCCAGTGTCTTGTCAGAAAGCCTATGCAAGCTGAATGGGGTGGCACACATCTGTAATTCCAGCATGCCGGGAGGCTGAGGCAGGAGGATTGCAAATTGAATCCTGGCCTGGGTAACTCAGTGACTCAGACCTTGTCTCCAAAGAATTTTTTTAAAAAAGACTTAGGGACATAGCTCAGTGCAGAGGCCCTGGGTTCAACTCTAGAACTGTAAAGAAGAAAGAAAGAAAAGCTTTGTGCAAGCCACCACTCACTAGCAGCGGGGCATCTCAGTTGCTCTAGGAAACTCAGGGACCAATTTGCCCAGGATAGAAACACAGGTGAGGCACATGACTGTTTAGGATGGGGGCCATGCCTGGACCACAGTGGGGGTCTCCTGGATTGGGACCAACGTCGTCCGCCCTTTGTTCAGAAATCAGAGAAACCCCCGCCCTGACAGATGTATTCATACTATAACTGTAAAAAATAAAAATGGGTGTGAACGTACGTGAGACTTCACAGCTACCGCACTCCCCTGTACTGGAGCGGTTTCTCTTCCCCGACCCAGTGGAGGCAAAGCAGCCTCACGGAGCACCTCAAGTATGGTTTCCGGCAAGGATCTGTCTCTCCGTTTCCTGTTTCCTGTTTTAATCTGTACTTGTGGCTCTAGGGGAAGTGACTGTGCTGTGCAACACGATCTCACCGAGGTTTGGCCAAGAAGCAAACCGTGTCTCAGCTTTTGGCTCTACTGGCCCCACTTTCCAGGTTACTCTAATATTTTCTAACATGTATTTTAGTGTAATTTGCTCTAAACGTTTTGAAATGAGCAGAAGCCATTAAAAAGGAAACTCGGCTGGATACCCTTGAAATGTCATTTCGTTTGCTGTCCCAGGACTGTCAGGACAGCACGGGAAATGGTGGCCGTGTGTTGGCTGGTTAAGCTGCTCCAGGGAGCATTGAGGCCAATAGGGATTTTATGAATTATATGGTATTAAAAATTAGAGCTGTTTCTTAAGTCGAAGAGATAGGTCACTGGGGCTGTGGGTGCCATGGTGGGACCTACACACGCAGCAGCTCTTTGTCCTTTTCCCGCAAGTCCTCTGGTCACAGGGTCAGTGGCACTGCTTGGTCACACCCCTGGAGCATCTTTTCTGAGGCACGGCTAGGATCCTGCTTCTGTGTGACCTCTTATCTCATGTGAAACCTTCCAGGCTGCCCCCTGGGTCTGCAGAGTGGGAGACCCTGGGCTGAGAACAGGAGCCCACAGGGTGTGTGAAGGCAGGCTGCTGCGATGCCTGCACACCTGGTCTGAGGAAATGCTCCTTAACGCCTCCCGTGTGCTCATTTGCAAAGTTGGTTTATGCCCTGCTCATTTAACCGCTCTAACTTTATCATCAGTGACCACTCTTCTGGCAGGGTACGTGATTTTTAAGTCACTAAATGTCAGAGCTCACTCACCTTCTGTGTGTATCAGTGAGGGTCCTGCGAGCTGCTGGCCACAGGAGATGGAGCGTCAGGGTTCGGAACTCAGCTTGGTTTTCTCCAACACAGTTCCTGCAGAGAATTCCAAGTGTGTGTTACCTCCTACCGCTAATTTCATTTTGTGTGTAAGCACCTGTTTGCTTTTTCCCATTGTTTATATTGTTACGTGAATATTATTTTAACTAACGTATGTCAAGTTGTTGTATAATTTTCCATCAAAAGCCCGTGAGATGCCCCACGTGTCATTGCTCCTAAGCAGCTCCTGCATTTATGGACCCATCCCTGGGTCCATCTTCTACTCTGTAAAGTGGGTAGTGATGGTGTTGGTGTGGACATTCTTAGCCACTCTGCAGGAAAGCTCCAGCACAAAGCCCGCTGTGCCCCATGGCCCTGGAAAAGGCAAGCTGTGCGCTGAGGCAGTCTGATGGGCAGAGTCCAAAGGGAGTTGAATAAGATGGGGAAAAACATGAGAGAAGAGGAGATGGGAAGGGGGAAGGAAAGCAAGTCTTTGCCATCACCTGCGTTTTCTGTCTGAGAACCACACGCCTCCTGTCTCGCTGCGGAGTGCCCACGGTTCCCCCTGGTCTGTCTTCCTGTGGCCTGGGGTCTCTGCTATCCCTCAGCTCCCACATCAGTTTCTCCAAATGTGTGTTCCTGCCTCTGCTGTTCACCCTCGTCATCCCAGAGCCTTCCTACACAGTGCATTGACACAGGTCTTGAGTAAACATTTATTGGGTTCCACACACTGGGGACACTGAGGCACACAGATGAGGCACTGAGTCTCTGCCCTAGTAGAGTCCCCTCCAGGGCTCTGACACAGTGGGCTGCCTGTTCATTGAGTGTCCCTCCATGACCCAAACCTGTGTGATTTCACAAAGCCACCATGGGGGAACGTGAGGACTGCCTTTGTTTTTCCTGCATTTTGGATGAGAAACTGTTAACTGTGGTTGAACTCTGAAGACAGACCCAGGGCCCAGTGATCCCAGGGATCAAAGGAAACAGGCCCTTGGGGAGACATGTGCTGCCTGTAGTCTTGAAGTCCGGTTCTGGTTCAGGACTGTGCAGGGCTTATCTGATCTGCTTGCTGAAGACAGATCACCCCAACCCACTAGCATGATGAAGGAAAGTTGACGTCATCCGTGTGATAGCTTCTTAGGAAGAATTTGGAATAACAAAGTTTTGACCAAATCTGAATATACACAAGTCTGGAACAATTAATAGCCCAAGAGTTTCCTTGAATTATCTCCAAGAGGTGCCAGCAAGAAGCAAAGATATCCATTTTCATCACTGAAATTTATATTGATGCAGAGGCAGGAAAGGAAAATAAATAACAGAGAAATGTTTGGGGAAAAAGGAGGAGACTTGTGGAGTTAGAAGTGTAGCCAGCCGCAGGCCTGTACCAGCTGTGGGACCACTCCTGCAGCTCGCCTGCTGGCCTGCGGCAGGGGAAGAAATTGGGAATCGTAAGAAACTGGAAACGTCAAGGTTGGGCACGGATACCTGGTGCGTGTCTAAGAACACACATATAAGAGGTTTTATGTCCACTAAAACAAGCAATAAAAGCAGCATGTAAAGAAAAAAGAAAACAGCTGTGGGCTTTCTGTCTGCCGTTCCCCTTCAGGACCCCTTCCCTGATTGCTCCACAAGGCTACTTGGGTCCCCATTGCATTTGTGTTCCTCCGTTGGTCCCCCGACAGTTGGAAATTCTCTGTTTATCTAGAGAGGAGTCCTCCTCCAGCCCCTGCCTCACCCTGTCCCGTCTCCAAGCATCTGGACTGACCACCTTGTTCCTGGTGACCAGCTCCAGCTACTCAGGGATAGGGCCAGGTTTCTGATTTGGTTCCAGATTCTTTCCTCTCTTGACATTCCAGGACAGAATTTCTTTTCTGCACTTTCTAGCTCCCTGTTTATTTTGTGCTCCTAGGTCTCTTTGGAAATGATAATGAACAGAGGGTTGCTTAGTGCTCATGTGATAAACTGGAAATCCTTATGAGCCTGGAAAAGTGTGCCGGAGAAGCTGCGCCGTGCACCCAGATGGCAGGGAGGCAGGCCCGTCTGCATGGGAGGGATTCTCGTACATATCTCCATATCTGTTTTAAACATTTTCTCAAGTATATCTCATTGTATTTCTACAATAATTTTTGTGAGTTAGGCATTGTTCTTATCCTCTCCATTTTTAAGAGCCATAGCTCATAAGGCTGAGTGAGGTCTAGGCTCACAGCTAACATCCCCTTCCAAAGCCAAGGCCACTTCCTTTGACCGGGAGTCCTCTGTGTCACTGTAGCCTCAGCAAAGGCCCTCCTGCCCCTCATGATCCATGGCTTTGCTCTGCTCCTCTTGCTTTGTCCTGGTTTTCTATGGGTCCCGACATGCACAGCACAAAGGTAAACAGAGGCCGCCTTGCTCCTGGAGATGAGCGTGCCTGCTGCTGGCCATTTGGTCTGACACCTTTACCTCCTGCTCCTTGCTCATCTTTAGATAAGAAGATGAGGACCCATGCCACCTGCTTGATGGAGACCACTTCCTCCTGGGGACAGTTGTGGCTTCACGGGAGGGTGGTGCACCTGCTGGGAAGCAGAGTCCCAGCAAGCACATGTGCAGCTGTGTTAAACTTCATCCTCGTTCTCCTGGATGACTCGGTGGCAGGCAGAGAAAGCTGTTAGTCCCATCTTGTGGGTGAGCAGACTCCGTCTTGGAGAGACTACGGAAGTGAAAGAGGAAGAACTTACGCTGACTGCCGGTCCATCCCTTTGGAGCCCAACATGCTGGTGACTGTGCTGGCTTGTTAATGACCTGCCTAAGATCAGAGGTGGCCAGCATCCTTAACTGCCCTGCAGTCAGTATATGCAAACATTGCACTTTGTCCTACTTTATTAAAAAGGAATTTTGTTAATCAGCTTTCCTTTGCTGTAACAAAATACCTGAGTAAATCAACTTATAGTAAGGAGATGTTATACTGACTCTAGTTCCTAAGGTTTCAGGCCATTATTTCTTGGCCCCATGGCTTTGACCTGTGGTGAGGCAGAAGGTCTTGTGTGAGTAGGTGGAGGAGGGGCTGCTCATATATATAAGAAGTGAAGAGGGAGGGTGGGAGGGGCCAGAGTGCCCATGTCCCTGATAAGGGTATGCCCTCACTGATCTCAGTTCTTCCCGAACAGCGTCACCTGCTGAAGGCCCCACGGCCTCCCAGTACTGCCACCCTGGGAACCAAGCCTCAGGCCTGTGGCATTTTGGGGCATTTGAGATGCAAACTGAGAAGATCAGGAAACCATGCTAAGTGTGGGCAGGTTCAGTCATCCAGGAAACCATGCTAAGTACGGACAGCCCGCTGGCGTCGTCTGCATGTTGCAGCAAAGGGAGTGTGTGATCTGGGGTGCTCCCAGATGGAGGAAGGAGACCCCCGTCGCTGCCCTCTTTTCTGCTGCCATGTTATGTTTGCACAGTGGAGCTCCCCAGATCCTCAGAGGGACCTTGGCTCCAGATCTGTAGGCCAGCCTCCTCCACAGCCACATACCAAGGCCCTTGACAATGGCTCTGCGTTCTAGCTCCTAGTGCTGTTGGCTCTTCCCTTAGCTGAATTGATTCGCCTGCCGGGATTCCTGCTCCTGCCCTCCTCGTCTGACCTCTAGTTTTTTGCCCCTGCCCAACTCCTGGGTCAGTCTCCTCCAACACTTGTGCTCCCCCTCCCAGGATGTGGCTGTGACCAGCGTACCACTCCTCTCTGCCCTGGGGCGCCAGGTGGGCGAGCACAGGGCCTCCTCCCTGGTGTCCAGTTCAGAGGGTGCCTTTTGCAGACAGTGGCCACTTGGTGAGCGCTACGGGAGTACAGTAGGCTGTCCTGACTTGTGAGCTAACTTGGAAAGGTGAGACTTACTCGTAATGAATGTGTGGGACGAAGGAGGCAGAGGTGCTGAGCTAAGGTGTTTTTCACACCAAGCGGTAACAGGGGAAGGGGAGGGAGCCGGTCGTGCCACACCACTTAAGCTTCATATCACAGGCTCTCAAAAGCACCTCTCAGGTTTGGGTCATAGGTTTTCCTGACACCCTGGAGAATCCAGTCTTTGCAAGGGAGAGGAGAGGCATGTTCTTCGAGAAAGCCTTAGACTTCACCCCACTATTTAGTATTTGCTTTCTCAGGGCTGCCAGGTGGGCCGGGGTGCCGGTCTGCCTCCCCTCCAGGCTCAGTCCGCAGTGCTCCTTTCCTTGCAAGCTGCCTCCCGCCGCGGCCTGCTATCTGCCAGCTGCCTGCTTCTGTGGTCCTTGCAGCCAGGGACGTGCGTGTCTCAGTGGAGAGACTGTCCTGACTTTCTCCCATTTTCTTGTATCGTGTGATCAGCAAAGTCTCTACATTCGCTGTTTAAACCTGTTTCCCGACTGCTTTGACTTTGTTTGGCCAAACTTTCTTTTGGCTTGAACCCAGGCATTCATTAGGAAAAGTGTAGGCTGTTTTGATCCATTGTGTTGGACCCACTTTCTCCCAGCCCAGGGCTGCCTCACGCCCGCCCACAGAGCCGCGTCCTGGCCACCTGTGCTCCCCACACCTGCTCCGCTCGCACCTGTGCAAACAGCGCCGGGCAGGGCCAGCGAGGAGAGCTGGGAGACCCTTGTCATGCAAAGTTGGTTCGGGCTTTTTTTCTTCTGTTTTAAAGAAAATTGTTCAGAGTCCAACTAACTTCATTCCAAATTTGGCCAAGTGCTTTCTTTTTTCTTTTTGCAGCGCTAAAGGTTGTGCCCAGGACTTTTGTACCAAGTTACATCTCCAGATCATTTTAGTTTTTTAAATTTTGAGGTGGGCTTTCACTAAGTAATGAAGCTGTCCACGCCAGGCTGAGCTTTTGGTTCTCCTGACTCAGCTGGGATTGAAGGTGTCTGCCGTCAGGCTCTGCTGAACATACTTCCTATCTGGAATGAGTTTGAAGACCCACAATGAAGTTCTTTCAGGAAATTATAGTCTATAGAATAAGAATGGTTATTTTCTTTAGTAGGCTGTGTTTTTTAAGGGACATTACTTAGTTATAAAAGCCTATCTTCGTCCAGGCTCTGCCTCCCCTGAAATTCAGTTTCTATTCAAAGTGGGGAGGGAGAGATACATGGCTGAAGTGTGCTCTCCTCTTCCTACGAGCGAATTCTTCCATTCTTAGTTCTGCACCTGGAAAATATCCAGAATCCTCACCAAATGCACAAATGCTAGTATTCGTTAGTGACAGTACAGATGTGGTTTGTCCTCCCCTGAGGCCACAGTGATGACACTGTCCGACGAAGTCCTCCACATCTCTCCGTGGGCTCTCAGAAAATGCAGGTGGCCCAAGTATTAAATACGAAGTCTTCGGCCCGAGTGCCTCTGGGTGCATCTCTGACAGCAGAGCTGCCCAGGGCAGCCTTCTACCACGGTCCATGTCAGGGGATTGGTGGTGCAGCCTCTGCTTCTCGCTCCCTTTCTCTGTAAGATGGTGCTGTGCTGCCCTGCGGTGGCTTTGGTAGGGGGAAGAATGCTGGAATTCTCCAGTGCTGTGCAGCCGGCAGTGACACAGATATGACAGTTTTGTGAGATGGGGGATGAGTTTTCCAAGGTGCCAGACAGGAGGGATCTGCCTCCCTGCGCAACTCCTGCCTCCCTGAGGGCAACGCAATAACTGGCATTGACACTCCTTAGTGTCAGGGTTTGGGTGAAAGTACTCTGAGCTTGCTCTGCCCATTAAAACAAACACATGCACGCGTGCACACACACACAGACGCACACAGCACCACCACTACCACCTCCAAGTCAGGCACGCTGGTGCAGGTTGCAATCCCAGCACTGTAGGAGGCAGAGGGACCAGGCGCAAAAGTTCAAGCCCTGTCCAAAAAAAAAAAAAAAAAGAAAAACTGAAAATGGCTGGGGATGTAGTCAAGGCACAGTCCCTGGGTTCAGTCCCCAGTACTACAAAAATCCATCAAAAACAACAGAACAACCTCAAACAATAACAATAGCAACCGAAAACCCCGCAGGTGCCTGCAAAGGCCTGAAGAGACACTGACCTGTGTTCTCCGGATTCTGGATGGAAGGGGCGTGATCATGTTAGCAGACAAATGATAAATGAAAACATGCTGCTCTGAAATCTCGCTCTTTGCTTTGGGGGCTCCTGCACATGACAGCCTGTCCTTGTCTCTCGTCTCAGCCTCCCCTCACTCCTCAGAAATCTGGGACATGGCTGCTGAGTGGTGGCCCGATCTCCTGAAGGACCACTCTTGGGGGTCACCAGCCACAGCACACTGGCCACCCTTCCCTGGGCTCCTAGTGAGGGGTGCAGTCCCCGACAAGCAGGCTGTCCCTGAGGGCCGTTCTGTGCCTTCAGTGTTTTTCATTCTAGTGTCTTGTGGGTAATCGTAACCAGCCTGGACCCTCAGACCTCCCAAGGGGAGGCTTTGGTGAGTTTTCAAGGAAGACAGCACCCTGAGTTTGAGAATTTGTCGAGCCCCTCTTATAGAGGGAGGAACACGGTAATGGTGCCGAAGGAATTGGCTAGGTCCCTCTTCTACTTTTTCTGCAGCTCAGACTAGAAGAGGGGATGTCATGTTCATCAGAGTTCTCTGTCTTCATTAGAAGGGCATACAGTGCCGGGAAACCTGCTCAGACACATGGGGGGGGGGATAGGTACCGGGGGTACTCACGGATCTGCACGGTCTTCTTTCTTACATTCTCTTCTTTAATGCATTGCCTGTGCTCCATAAATGAGAAGAGACCTCGCAGGAGTGAGTGATGTTCCATGGCCGGGCACGCAGTCTCGCTCGCCCCGCGTTATTTGGGAGTGGCTCCCTGTTTGTTGCGCTGTCTGGTGTGATGCAGGAACAGACAGGGTGGGGCCTGGGGTGTGCAGGTTTGCTTGAGAGGTGAGGGTGGCAGGGATGCTGGATCACGGCCAAAGAGAACAGGTGGGATCGGGGTCCGGTCTGAGACTTCCCTGGAAGTCACAGTGAGCTCTGAACCTGTGTGTCAGGACACGAAGGAGAAGCCCGGCTGTCTGTGGAGCCAAACCCAACAAAGGGCTCTAAGCCAAGTCCCTAAAGGGCTCTGCCTGCTACAGGGGCTCCTGCAGGAAGCCTCCCAGGGCTGACACAGCTTTGAGGGCCGAGGCTGCAGCGTGGCCTCAAAGCGCCAGCCTCAGCGTCCTGCTGCTCTGTGCGGTAGAAGGGAAGCACGGTCTGAGGCACTGCCGTAGACCTGTAGCAGCTACTTGTGGGCCTCTGGGCGTGGGAGCTCTCACTGACTCAGCAAGCGCTTGTTCAGAAGCAACCGTTCGGTTCACATAAACACACCTGTGGCTTCTGAGAGCACAGGTGAAATTGTGTGATGCCGTATAAAGGGGAAGGCTGCCCTTCCAGTCCCAAGAGTGCACGTCCCTGCTCCTGGAACTTCTGGAAGAAAGAATCCACGTGGCTAGTGTTGAAGGGGGTCAGCGAATTGCTTTAAAAATCAAAGAAAACCAGACCACTAGGGTCAAATAAGACCCAAGTTGGCTCTTTCCAGAGAAGAAGGGCTGGAGGCGCTGTTTGGTATCAAACAGCAAATGCAGGATTGAAGAATTATTGCAGGCTTTTGCAGGAGACGATGGCTTCACATTTTAAAGAGACTGGCGTGGTCTTTCTGCCAAGGGCGAGCACCAAATAACAGTATTCCTTGCACCTTGCACTGTCTGCTGCTCTACAGTTTTTTAAATGTGTCTGACTTTGTCTTATTTTGTCCCCCAAGTTTTTGAGAGTTGATCAAGATAAAGACAGAGATTGCAGCTTGGACTGTTCGGGCTCTCCTCAGAAACCTCTCTGTGCATCTGATGGGAGGACCTTCTTGTCCCGCTGCGAATTCCAGCGGGCCAAGTGCAAAGACCCTCGCTTGGAAATCGCTTACCGAGGAAACTGCAAAGGTGAGCTCCTGTTCGATTATCATGCAGTACGGGTGAGACAAAAGTCACGTGCCTCTCCTTTATTTTCAGATGTAAAGGTGAAGAGCAATTTCTATGAATCTCAACACCTTCATTTAGAGATTGTTTAATTCTTCTTTTAAGGTGCTCTGTGTTGTGATGCAACAAATTTATCCAACTGTTTCACAGCTTTTCCCAAGGTCCTCTGAAATCATTCTTTATAAAGTTTTCCATGTTTTTTTCCAGTTGTTCCTCATTTCTCTCATAAGCAAATGTGCAGTAGCACCTGTGATGTTCTCAGGGATGTTTTTGGTGCAAAGCTTACCCTTGGAACTTTCAGTGTTTCTATTTAAGAATCACATTCAGAGTTGATACTGGTTCTTAGAGCAAAACAGGGAAAAGTTTCATACACTAAGGGTTTGACTCAACAAAAGACGTTGGTGTTTCAAACACAAACACAATCATTTCATGAAAGATTTACCTTATTCTCTGGGAAACACCACAGAGACTAAAACTGCCTTTGAGATGGTTTTCTGCCTCAGCTAGCTTTTTGTTCAACAGTGCTGTTAGCTGAACAAAATGACAACCACACCAACCACTGGCAGAGCCCGATATCTCAGCACATGGCTGGCCAGGTTGCTAGTCCATTGGTTCTTCTTTTCACAGTGCAATATACCCAAACCTTGCTCAGATTTGCACTGTTTTTCCACATAGCCAAGAGACGATTTTGCACACTCTTTACCCCTGAGAGCACTCCCTATTGATGAGACCAAGAAATCTCTAGGTATTCAGAGCGGAGCTCCTACTGAAATGCAGCTGGAATCCCTCTGGCACCTGGTCTTCACCCAGTGACAAACCTTCCCCTGTGCATGTGTCTGCCCTCTATGTCATGTCTGCAGATGCCTGATTTGGACCCAAAACTTCCTCTTAGTGTGCACGTATCACCTTGCCAATGACCAGTGGCTACACATTATCAAGGACTCTGTCTACCACCATCATGGTTGATTCAAAGTCAGAGTCTTTTGGGGCACACAACATTTTTTTTTTTTTTTTTTTTTTTTTTGGGTTTTCTCCGGTACTGGGAACCGAACTCACGACCTTGCGCTTGCCAGGCAGGCGCTTTTGCCGCTGAGCTAAATCCCCAGCCCCGGGGCACACAACATTTAAAAGCTACAGGATGGCCAAGACCTGAGGGTAGCACAGGTAATGGGCCCTCTGAAGGGTCCCAGGAAGACTGTTCCATGCTGGAGGGTTTAGGAGAGGATGGTAGGTGGACAGTGAGTGTGTGTAGAACTTTGTAAAACCTCCTCACATGAAGGTGTGATCCTCCTGTGTGCCAAGATCACGAAGATCCCAGGTGGAACCCCATCTGACAGTCCTGCAAGGAACAGTGGGCGGGGCTGGGAGAGAAGGTGGCCCAGGCGGAGGCTGGGCTGCGAGCTGCTGCAATCTGTTTCCACTTTCTGAGAAACAGCAGCTGTCAGAAGCTGTAGGAAGAAGGCAAGCGGTGCCTTCGACTTTGAGAATGGGAGTGCAGGGATCATCTGAGAAAACCCAGCGGCCTGTCGGCTCTGGGGGGAAAGTCTCATGCTGGCCTCTTCTGTCCACTTTGGAGGTGGTTCCCCCATCCCTGCGCTTGGACTTCATGTCTCTGCCTGGTCACAGCAAGGTTAAAGTTGGATTCCATTTTGAGGGTGAGGGTAAATTTGAATTAAACGCTCTTGTCCTTCGGGGTGGTGTCTTGTGACTTTACTTGCATTTGCATCTAACCTAGTTTCTCTGGAAAATTCCCTTGGCTGGAATTGTATTCACTCCACTGTGGATGTACCATAAGCTTGTGATCCCCAAGATGAGATAGGGCAGATTTAGGTAAACATGAGATGTACTCCCCAAAGTAGGTTTAGCTTAAATCTGAAACATTATAAGAACAAGCAGAGACACCAGCAGAGTCATAGTTGCATTTAACCCAGGGCAGCAGGGCCAACCTGATCTACAGACAACGCGTTAGACCAGCTTTGCATTCTGGGCACAGCTGGGCATCACATGCCTCTGGAGCTCTAGATTTGGGGTGCACAGCTGGCTTTGAGATGTTCTGTTTCAGCCCTCATCTGTCGTGAGTCAGCCTTTCCTGTGCTGGGCTGCCCTGGAAAGGGCTCCTGGCCTGTGCTGGGGTCTCCTTGGCCTGGGTTCTGGTTCACACTGGGAGGAGGGTCTTATTTTGGGGTGAGCTCCTTTCCACGGACTGTGTACACTGTCAAATGTTTCCAGCTGGATCTCTGGAGCCCAGCATTTACTGCCCACCATCCACCATGGTGCAGAATGGGAATGGGGGTGACACTGACTTGTGGATGAGACCCAGGTGCCTGGCTTGCCTGGCAGGGAGAATTGTGCTAAGATGACCCTCCGTCCTCTAAGAGCATAACCAGCACAGATTATACAGATGACCCAGGTAGGAATGTGCCTCCTTGCAGTTCGGAGAGGCAGCAATTAAGTGTCCTCCTCCTCCCTCAAGCGACACAAGTACTACTTGCTCTTTCTCCACCTCTTCCTGGTGCTGAAGTTGGCCAGCCTGCTGTAGTGCTCCCTTGGCAGAGGGGCCGCTGCTGCTGACTTTGGTATTTTGAGGGCATTTCCACATATTTGGTGGGTGACAGTTCTGTGGGCCTGTGTCTTTTGGATGTACTGGTTTGGAAACAACAATTAAAATATTTTAGTCCACATTTAATTAAATGGGATTAAAATGTTTCATGCATTTCATGTTATGATCTAACCATTGACCTTGAGGAGAATTGCAGTGGTTTAAACTGATGGATTTTTCTCATATTTTCATAGAAATTTGTGGAGTTTGTGTTTTCTGAGCTCAGCAAACACATTAATAATTTTTCTTTTGATCTGAGAACAGTGGGCTTGTCTTTCTTTTTAACAAAACCTCTGGCATTGACTAAAAGAGCCAGAAAAAAATGTTACATGCCAGGAGACCTTGGAACTATTTTCAAATTTCTGGAAACAAAAGTCATAGCAAAAGCAACTTCCTTGGACATTCCTGATCTGGAGAGCTCTGCATTGGACCCATCAGTGTAGGTTCAGATACAGAATGCTTCCTGTCCTAGTCATTGTCCTCTGCTGTGCATGGCCCCTCAGTATACTGACATCACCACAGAGCCCTGGGCAGGCTCTGTGGGTGAGCGACCTCTTGGTGTAGGAAGGTCCACAGGCAGAATGCCTAAGTCACCAGTCTCAGGCACCTGTCACCACAATGGGAGTGAAAGGACTGTTATCGTCACAGACCTTAGCTCCTTCCCCAGGCAAACCCTAGGGGACAGAAGTAGCGTTCACCTGGCCTCAGGGTCATTGTTCTCACAAAAAGCATTGGTTTCTGGGATCTTCGTCCACTTCGGCTTGAGGACTCAGAGCCATGGTGTGATGGCAGCCTCTCTGAGGTGAATTGTCTATACCTGCCTCTTGTCTCCAGAACAAAGGGATGGATCAGACCAGCTCTGAGAATTCTCTGGTTTGAAGGAAGCCAGACAAAAAGGCCATTACATGCTTCTATGGAGTTGGGGACAGTAGGGGGTGGACCTTCTGGAAAACAGGCTTCCTTTCAGAGTGAGGGGATGTCCTTCAGAAGACAGGGATGTGATGGCGCCAGTGTGACGGCACACTGCTGAGCGTGCACTAACCCCTGAGCGGCACACTCCGAAATGGTTGAAACGACAGCTTTTATGTTATTTGTACTTCTACCACAGTCAACATTATTCTGTTTATGTTTTGAGGATTTTAGAGCCAGCGATGAGGAAGAAAGTGACCAGAGCAAAATCTCCAAAAGGTCCTGAACACAGGGGACCTGCTTAATTTTTAATTTAATACAATGAGCACAAAAAATAGAAATGTAACACTATGAATGTATCACCTATAAGTACTCAAGAAGGGAATGCTGGACATTTCTATTCTGTTCTTTGAAACGTGATTGAAAAACTAGAAGGTTTACAAAAGTAATGTTGAGGTTGTGTGCATCACTTGGATCCCTTTAGTCTAAGGTGTGCGTGTATTACGCACCTAATTATTTAACGTGGCATTAGGAGCCCAGGAGAGCTGTTGAGGGTTGCGAGTGTGGATTCATCCTGTTTGGTGCTTCTCAGCTCTCTCATCTGACGGCTCTTGCCCAGACTTGTTAGCAGTGAGGCCCTTGTGCCTGATTTAACACTAAATATCTGCAATAAGAAACAACACATAGGTGGCCTGAGCTAACCTGGGTTTCGCGGACAGTACGACAGGCTTGTTTCGGAGATGACTTCCACAGACCCTGTAATTTTGTGCTCCCGCTTCTGCTTCTCCTATGACTAGTCAGCAATATACTGGACGTGAACTTGGAATTTAATATCCTGTTGAACACATGAGCTGCAGGTTTGAGAACGTCCTAACCAGTGGCAAATGTGAAGTCTTTAAAAGAAGTCTTGAGCCAGGAACGGAGCCCACAAGTTGTTTGGAAAATTTATGCTCCTTTGGCATGTTCTGTGATAGTTCAAATGTGAGGAATAATTTATGGCTCTGTCTCTCCCCGGGTGGAGACCTTGCAAGCTGCAAGTCAGATCACTTTTCCTTTTAGACAGTCAAACCACAGATTGGTCTAAAAAAACGAGGTGAGCTCAGCACAGCAGTGACTTCTAAGTGAACACAGACTGCATCAAAACCACCAAGTGCTGCTGAGTACTGGCTGCCCGCCCAAGTCGGGATGGAAGCAAGGCCTGAGCTACATAGAAGCTGGTGACCCTGGTGTGATCAGAGCCTGGGCTGGATCTGGATGAAGCTAGGGCTCTCCCGGCCAATGGCAGGAGTAAGGCCAAGCTGCTGAGCCTAGCTGGGCCCAGGAAGGCATTTCCTCCTCACCAGCCAGGCAGCGAGGTGCTGCCATCTGAAGAGGGGCACAGGGGGCATGTGGAGAGGTGTCTCTCAGAGACGTGGACGCTTGTTACCTGGACTGGGAAGCACAAAGAACATCGGGACAGCTGCTCCTGTCAAGTTCTATAATTCAGAGGAGCTGTGTTGCACCATGCTCCTCCAGCAGGAGCTAAAGAGCAGGGAGCAGATCTTCCTGACAGCAGAGAGCTCAGCACTGAGCCACATCACACCCCCTGCCCCACTCCGCACCCTTGCTGGGTCAGTGAGCTACGTACCTATGACTCTCAGATGTTGGATGTGGCCTGAGTCCAGTTCTGATCGCACAGAAAGGAGGCAGCTTCGCTCTTGGCATCACTGACTCTCCTGATTTCCAGTGTAGGGTGACAGCACCCTGCTCTGCAAAATGAAGTGCATCACTGTGATGCAGTGATTTAACCTGGGTACATGGCCATTTGGGGTAGAGTGGGAGTCTTGCTAAGGGTAGCAGCCTCTTCCATCTACTTGATCATCAGGTTTTGCAAGTGAAGTTGGAAGAAACATGAGCTTCACATAGACTTGAGGATCCTGAGCAAACTAAGATACAAAACAGAGAAGAGGTGTGGTTTCCACTCCAAGGTTATCTTGGCTCCGAGACGGTGATTGGGGGTGAGAGGCCCCCACCCCGAGAGGCGTCCCTGCACCCCTTTCCCAGTCAGTTCTGCGTGGTCTAAGTTTACTTCTGTCCCCGGACCTGGCCTGTTGTGTCTGGGCACAGCCCTGGGTGTCGGCGGGCATCCTGTGGCGGTGGCCCTCCTCCCCACTTGCTTCCCACAGACACCCCGGAAAGCTTCTCTGAGAGTCCTTCTCCCTCTCACTCCTGGCTGGGGCGCCACTGCTCTTCTGCCTCCACATGGGGCAGGACGTGCCAGCTCTGCTGAGGAGCCCCTGCCAACCTGGAAGCTCCTCCTCCATGACCCTCACTGCATAACCTTCTGCCCTGTCCTCCCTGCAGATGTGTCCAGGTGTGTCGCCGAGAGGAAGTACACCCAGGAGCAGGCTCGGAAGGAGCTGCAGCAGGTGTTCATCCCGGAGTGCAACGAGGATGGGACCTATAGCCAGGTGACTGTGGGACCCTGTACCGTGAATCCAGGGGAGGTGGGCTGCCCTGGGAGAAATTGGCTGGTAGTGCAGAAGCGAGGTCCCGTGAAGCAGATGTGTACATGGGCACCACCATGCTGAAGGTGGCAGAGATGTCTGTGAACTTGCGCAAGGCAGCGGGCTTAGTAGGCTCACCAGACTATGCCAACGGGATTGATGCTGAGAATTTAATTTTGGTTTAATTTCCATTGTGGGGAGCTTGTGCCAAGAGCCATAGCATCAGTGTAGCGTGAGCCCCGGTTTATCCCAGCCCATGTGGATCAGGGCTGGACGCTGGCCAAACCAGGCTGCGCTGTGCCTGTGGTCAAGTTGTTAGTCACAGGCAGTGCTGGAGAAAACCCAAGTCCCTGTCGGGGAGCGGCAGTGCTGTTGTTCCTCCGGGGTCACCCTGAGCATGCAGCGTTGGCGTGGTTTGGGTGGAACGACCGTCAGCAGGTCAGTGACAGTGTGGGCCTCAGTCTTGCTAGACTCACTTGGCCTTGGACCGATGAGGATGGGAAGGAGGAGTGACGGGGAGCTGAGGGGCAGCCCCTCTACTGTGGTTGTCTTGGGAGAGAGCCAAGAGATCACAGGGGAGCCCCCGAGGGTACATGGAAAGACCCCGCTGGCCTCTAGAGGCTTCTCCTCTCCTGGACTCTGCCGGGGCAGCATCGTGTGAGTCTGCTGGCCCCCACAGGTCTCAGGCTCCTGGTGGGTGAGACAAGGGCTGGGGCTTTGTCTGGGCAGTGGCGGTCAGCCAGGCTCTGACCGCACAGGTTGTCCCTGCTTCTCCTCAGTGTCCTGATGAAAGGCAACACCGGCTCCCTCAAGTACCCCCGGCCCCAGAGAGGCACCAGAGTCCAGGGCTCCTGGGAAGTGATGCCACACGGGCAGGTGGCCTCGTGGAGACCCTGTGTCGGGCGAGCTCACCCGTGTCCTCTCTCGGCAGGTGCAGTGTCACAGCTACACGGGGTACTGCTGGTGCGTCACGCCCAACGGAAGGCCGGTGAGCGGCACTGCTGTGGCCCACAAGACGCCCCGCTGCCCGGGTAGGTGGGGTCTGGCTCGGCCCTGTGGAGACTAGTTTGTCGTTTCTGGCTGTCATCTCACCTCTGTTTGCTCGTAATTCAAACAGGAATTCAGAGTGAATGAAACTGAGTAATTGTGGGGATGAGACAGGTCAGTAGACAAAGCCTAAGGTATTAAGAGCCATTTCTAAGGGAGAAAAGTGAGGTGTGCATGTATTATAGACGCATGCATAAAACAGAGGAGAACTCACCAAAGCAAAACTAAATATACATACATACATACATATGTACACACATATGTGTACATACGCATGCATAGGGCAGAGAAGTCACTAAAGGAGGACACTCCAGTTTGAATCCTGGAAGATTATGGTGATTCAGGAATCTCTAATTTTTTAAAATAATCACTAAGACTGTAGTTACCAGTGGAAATGACCCAGTGTTTTCTTTGGCCAAAGAAAGCGAAATTTTCTGGTTTTGTATATATATTTTTTCAAGGAGAAAGTGGATTATTCTTCACAGGTCAGTTTCCAGAGAGTTTATTTATGTTATTTTATTACTCATAACAGGGTGTGATGTACTGAAAATAATAAAACTGGCAGGATAATAATCTATAAAACGGTCTTTTTCCATTAATATTCTACCAAGAAGGCTGTAAATGATTCTGATCCTTTTTATTTGAAAATGGTCTGCCATCTCTGCAGTCCAGGCTGTAGACCTGGGAAGAAATGTCATGATCTAGTTACCAAAATTCCTACATTATACACATGAAAATTGGCAAGATAAATCATTACATGCCAAAGTAAAGTACAAAACATTGTCCCTAATTATTCACATGAAGGATTGAAAGGTGCATTTGCAGTTCGCCCGTAGTAGACTGTTTAGGGCGTGGGCCTCCTCTGATGGGCAATTCAGTTCCTTCCTTGGACACCTGCAAGGCAGCCAGGGAGCCAGGGAGCCAGGCCCCGGGTGAGAACTCATGACTGCCGGGGGCCTCCAGAGCAGGGTGACACCCACAATTAGCAGAAACACAAACCCCGACTTTGAAGCCACTGGTTGTCACTTAAAAGACATGTGGTGTACATTCTGTGGAATTAAAATGTATCAATTTTTTTCAAAACTCTTTTGCCATGCAAATTCTTTTTAAAAGTGCTGAAAAAATATGTTCAGTCAGCTAACATTTAGATTTAATGGTTCCTTTTCTGAAGTCATGGAAGATATGAAAGAAAGAGAAGAGTTAGTGCTACTGGCTGCATCCCCTGGGTGAGTCCCTTCCTGGAAAGACCTTTGCAGGGGCTCTTTCCTTCACGTATGTGGCCATGTCTGAGTGGGGGATTATGGGAAGGCTTGTGACATCACAAAGGGGAGAACAGCAGGAAGACCCACTCCTATGACTCAGTGATACTCTCTGAAGAAGCAAGCAGTGCATGAAAGGCCTTTCTTCGAAAACCATCGCAAACTTGAATTTTGTACGACAGCCAAAGAGTGCTGTTCCTGGAATCAAATCACTGGACCATTCACTCACATTCTTTTTCTTCCCTGGTGTCAGTAACATCTGACTGCTTAGAAATGCCCCATTTGCACTGTCCACATTGATTGTTTTTGTCCAAGACCTGGATTAGAGAAGAGAAAGCACTGTGTTTTTGTTTGGCATTCAGTGTCGGAAATGCACAGCGGCTCAGGTTAAAAGGCAGCGTAGACCGGGCAGGTTCTCATGCAGGCTGTGTGTGCCTGAGACCGGCGCTAGTTCTCACACACGTGGCTGGTGCCTTTCCATACCTAGCTCTGGTCCGCACCTCTAACATGCTCCAGGACGTCCACAGAGCTACTGGAGAGTTCTTTAATCCCCGCTGTGTTCCATGCCTGCACTCTGTGAGCCTGCGGGCAAGTAAGGGTGACACTAACCCTTCTGGAAACTATACAGCCGTGGGGATGCTGAGAGGAGTTTGCAATCCAAGGGAGATCATAAGGAGGCTGAGTCTGCCTGCCTTCCTTCGCCCTTGCTCATCAAGGGTTACTAATGCATTTCTGCATTTGGGAATCAACCTCTTCCCACATGTTGATCTTGCCTTCTGAGATATTGCAGAAAAGCAATTGCAGGATGTCAATTTGCACGAGATTATGATCAATAATGGGGTCACAGTGGCCCATGTTTTATCTGTAAAACACCAGGGACACCCTCGGACACACCCTCATCCCTTCCTCGAGCAGTCAGATGTTACACAGCAGGGCTAATGTGGATTATCTGCCATCCAGAAAAATGGAAGTCATCATCGTGAAGCTCATTAACACATTTACAGTGGGGCTGTAGTTCCTATGTCTTTCTGCTGGACAGCTTTGAACCACCAGTGGTACTTGTGTGAATGTCCCCTTGTGGGGCAGGGCCAGTCCCATCCAGTGGTACAGGCCGCCAGAGGGGACAGTCATGCATGTAACACTGGTGGTTCAAGCTGGCAGGAAAGTGTGCAAATTGGGTAAACTTCAGTACTCAGTAAATATCTTTTGCCCTCAAAGTCACACTGACCTTATCATGTAAATAAACCACAAAATGTGAAAGTCAGAAATGTGAAACTTAGGTTAAAAAATTAGGTTATAAATGAACACTAGATAGCAACTCTGTGTGTGTGTGTGTGTGTGTGTGTGTGTGTGTTAGAAACACACAAGTACACACATTTTGAGGTGGGCCAGATAGGGTAGGGGCAGGCCCCACTTACTGGCGGGGCTCTGGGGACAGAGGAGGTCCTTGCTCTCAAATCCTTCCAACTTCTCAGTTTCCCCAAGAAGACGCTTAAAAGGGAATAGAGTTCTTCATTTCACAATTATGAATTGCAAGGCATTAATACAAAGTACCTAAATTTCTATAAACCAATAACAAAAATGAGACAATGTAGCAGAAAAAGAGTCAAGACTCTTGGACAGGTAGCATTTTCTAAACATTAACTGGCACCTGCCAGCCCTCACCTGCTACGCCATGTGTGGGGAGCTCAGGACTCAGCTCTGCATTCCAGAAAGGAGCCCTGGACAGATGCCCTTGCACTCTCCAGGAACCAGGGAGTGGGACTCACACAGTCTTCTGCAGCGTGGCTGTGCAGGACCCTCACGGGAGACCCCGAGGTGTATGAGGCAGAGAAAGCCTGGGGATGTGCAACTCAAGCTCTGCATCGCTTTCTGAGCCCCGTGCTATCGTGATTTTGCTTTATTTAACAGTGAGAGGGGGATTCCGAGACCACAGCCACTGCTTTATCGGGCAACAGTGTGAACACCCTTTTCTTCTAGGGCTCATACAGAACATCCACACGTTGATGTCCTCCCTGAGGAAGCTAAGCATTGCCTATGTGAAGTCACTGGTTTATTTGTGAAGTGCTGGCCAGCAGGGACCAGGCAGGGACCTGCACGGGCTAGTGAGCTACTCAGTGGACACATGTCCATCCTGGGCAGCTAGACTAGGGTAGACAGGTGTCCCAGACACACATACAGGGAGCCGTGCCCTCGGGCCAGGAACATCCAGTGTGGCATTAAGAGCCAGGCATAGGTAGGCACAGGGAGGGTAGTGCAGCCTCTCACACCATTCACTCCTAAGAGGTGCTGACCCTGACTCTCGCCTCTCTTCTTACATCCGGCATAGACAAGGTGGCGAGGATGAAAGTGGCTTTTGAGAGTATTCTTCGCGGCAGATGGCAAATAATATTGTGTCCCTCTGTTTAGGACCCAAAAATACTCTTTGAGCTCCATCCAACTGCATTTCATGGCTCACACCTCCCAAAGCAGGTGTTTCTTGCTTATAGCTTGAGATTTATGTGTTCCCAGACTTCTGGCAACTTAGACCTGTTGGCTTTATGCTCAGAGGTTTTCCCTTGGCACCAGAAATATTCAGGGAAAATGTCTGGAAGTCCATTAACATTTTCTCCTTGTCTTTTATGCTGGGAGGGGATGGGGCCCAGATGTTTCTGCTCACAGTGTCTTCTATTTATTGTATAGGAATTTCTTTCTCCCTCCCTCCTTCCTTCCTTTCTTTCTTCCTCCCTCCCTTCCTTCCTTCTTTCCCTCTCTCCTTCCCTCCTTCCTCCCTCCCTCCCTCATTTCCTTCCTTCCTTCCGTCCTTTTTTCCTGCCCTCCCTCCATTTCCTTCCTTCCTTCCTTCTTTTCTTCCTTCCCTCCTTCCCTCCCTCTTTCCTTCCTTCCTTTTTTCTTCTTTCTTTCCTTTCTTCCTTCTTTCCTTCCCTCCCTCCCTCCTTCCTTCCTTCCTTCCTTCTTTCCTTCCTTCTTTCTTTTGCTCCTTCCTTCCCCTCCTCTCCTCTGTCACAGATTTAAAGACTAACGCAGCTGGAGGCAGGAACTGAGCTTAACAAAAGGACTTGTTTCCAAGGGAAGATTTTTATAGCCAGACTAGTCTATAATCCGGAGTCAACTTCAGGTCTTTAATCTTATCTCTCTGCTCTAACTGTGCAGAGGCCAGAAACGTTTTCCTGGTTCCAGTATAAATTGGTTTAGGTGTTGTAAACAGAACCTCCATGCAAAACCTTCTAATATTACAGTATCCAAAGAGTCTCCCCATGGAGCCTGCTGTAAGTGGTGTCTTTGAAGCAGGTTACAGATTTTGAGTTACAGGAAAATAGACACAGCACGATGGGGCCATCATGAGCGCCCACCCAGCCCTGTCTTATCAACAGAGGACAGCACCAGCACTGTGGGGTCAGCGAAGGGCTGCGGCTCTTGTGTGCTGCAGCCTAGCCGCAGTGAATGGGACGGGTCCCCCTCACAGCTGAGGACAGCAGGTCATCGTCCGCCCAGCTCTATTCCTACTAAGTTTCACAGCGTCAGAATTTGTACTTTGCCTTTCATGACGGAAGGATGCAGAGCGTACTCCCACAGGGCTGAGCTGGTGAGTGGTCCCTCCTCGCACTGCCTCTCTTCCTGTCTGATTCTGCCGGTGTCTGCTCACCCCAGGGTTGTGGCTCCTGGGAGGGGAAGCCCGGTAACAAACACGGATGATCGAGAACCCTGGATTAGACTGAATAATCTTTCGGTCCATTATTGACTTTAATGTAGCTATGATTCTTGTGTTCCCCTGCAATGGCTGAAGTGTTGGTTCCTAGCTGACATGATGAAACTATATTTTCAGAGAATTTTAAATGTTTTCTGAAAAATTTCACTTCATAAAGAGAAGCCGCCTGGATTTTTCATTCTCTGCTAATGAATGGCTCCTGCACTAAGCTAAGGATCTCACATAGCTGGGGAACTTGAAAAGAAATATCCAGCATTCTAGACAATTAAATTTCCGAACAGTGAAGTCCACACGGCAGCGGGGGTCGGTCTCTGATTCCTCTGAAGTATTGATTACAAAGATTACTAACTTGCAAATTTGAAATTGCTTCGCTCTGATTGGGAAGGATAAGAAGAAACTTTCTTTTAAAATATTGTCCCCTCAAGATGAACTTTTCTTGATGTCTAATAGTTCTCTTACTGAAAAATAACAGTTATTAAAATAAAATATTTCAATACATATTGATAAGGAAATGTAAAACCAACTTCACAAATGAACCAACCAATAAAAAGTACAAAATGCGCCCTCCTGCTCATCCTCCCTGAAGACCCTGCAGACTGTGCCCACACAGGGCTGGTCTTGGGGTGCGCAGGTGAAGGTTCCCCAGCCTGGGAGGGCGTGGTGGCCACAGTCCTGGGGCTGTGCAATGAGCCATGGATAAACTGCTTTGGGCCGCAGCTTTGAGTTTCTTCTCCCAGGAATTCAGAAGTCAGATGGCTTGCCCTGCACTTGCTGGCTGTCCGACCTGCAGAGCCTCTGGCATCTTTTCAGCCAGTCCTCTGACAGAACACGGCGCATGCAGGGGGCATGCCTGGATCCACCGCGTGCCCGTGCGCGGCAGCACTGTCCCCCTGTGCACTCAAGCACAACCATCTCCCTGCCCCCAGGGGCTTGCACCTGGGAGTGGGCACAGGGGTCTGGAGTCAGCTGCCCATCTGGAGACTGGGTCGCTGACCGAGCTCTGGTGTGTAGGCCAGTGGCCAGTCTTCTCCTTGGTCCTCCCATTGGGCCTCTGCTCCAGGCCGGGATCAGGAAGTCCTGCTGAGCAGAGAGCCTCCTATAGCAAACGGTCCTTGGCAGACAGAGCAGGGCTTGCAGAGGAAGCTCCTGGGGCTGAGGAGAGGGCCACATCCTTGGTGTCCCCGGACAGCCCTGTCCTGGCCCTCTGCTGTCTGCTCTCCTCTGCTTCCCTGGATGGAGCCCCTCCTCCTCTTTCCTCCTCAGATCGAGGTAGCTCCTGGGCTAGAGACACAGGAGAGGGCTGCCCCACTACTCACCAGCCAGTTACCCTGGTCGGCCTCGATGTCTTCCTCCGTGGAACAGCGGCGCGCACACTGTGGGCTGCTATCAGCTTTAAAATGGTGAATGCACAAGACGGGCTGGGGCAGCGAGTGGCTCTTGCTCAGCGTGGCAAGGTGGCTCAAGGGTGTCCTCGCACTGGGCGTCACAGAGAGCTGTGTGTGCAGTGCTGTCTCCCTAGACTGGACTGGACTAGACTGGACTGGACTGGATTCTCCAAGACCGTTTCCCTCGGCTGCTCATCCCACCACACGGGATGGGTATGTGCTGAGTGGGTAGAGGAAATCAGTGGAGGAATCAGTGGAGGAGAGGCAGTGGCAGAGGCAAAGGGGACACTCCTTGCCCTCCCGCAGCACCCTGCTGGTTAGCTGCCCTGGGCCCACATGGCCTCTTTCTCCTGGACATAGGAAAGGCACAGACAGGGGGAGGCCATACGGATGGACGGCATACTTTAGGGGAGGCTTCGGCACTGCGCGCTGGTCTTTCTGCCGTGTCACCAGCCGTGTGCTCCCATGCTGACACACCTTGAGGATGACTGCACTCTGCAAGGGCACCCTCACTACAGAGAAGTGCCAGCAGCAAGCAGGGTGCTCCTGCACATGGGGTGCAGCCCTCTGCAGCCTCCCGCCCTCCTAGCAAAGCAGCAGGAGGCTGCTTGCAGCCTGGGGGGATGAGCCAAGAAAGAGCTCACACGTGGGTGTCACCACAGGGACCTGGGTTTTCCCAGTAGAGCGTGCTGAGTGCCGCTGTGCCCTGGAGGCCCCTTCTTCCCTAGACGGGCGCCCCTGCAATGGGTTGGCCCGTTAGACTCACCCTGTTCTTTGGCATCCACACCGCACATCTGCTCCTCTTGCTGTTCCAAAGCACATGTAGTACTTTTGAAGGGGACGCCACCGGAGCACGCGGCTTCCCGCAGAGCACCACCCCTCTCCTGGGGCCCCCTGCAGTAGCTGGATTTGAACCAAGCATGGACACTTCAGGTATCCAGCCCTTGTTCTTCCTTCCACACACACTTGTCTCACGGTGAACCGAGCCGGTCCCTGAACCAGCACGGAAGTGCATACCCTCACCGCTAAAAGCCGCCTCTTTCGTGGCAGTGAAGTGGGATGAGAGCTCTGTGGCCTTCGTCGCTGGCAGGAGGACATGGCATCAGATAGCTTCCAGTCTCAGTCTTCCCCGCTATGAGCAGCCCTCCAGCCGGCCTCCGGCCCGGAGCTGTCACTGTCTTGCACACGTCTTGCGTGTCACTCCTGCTCTGAGGACCTTTTTGTAGCTATGGCCTACGGCATCAGTGGCGAACTTTTTAGGGTTTTCAATGATAGCAAACAGCTGGCGGCAGCATTTGTATCATAGGTTTGCCATCCCTGGCCTAGGCCCTAGACCAGTCCTCTTACAAACCCCAGAGTTCAACGCAAATCCGTCTCTCTAGGAAAATGCCATGGAGGAATAAAAGCCATTGGCTTGGTTCTGGATCCATGCTGCTTAGATCCATGCGCTTTAAGGTGGAGTGGAGGGTGATGTTAGTGACTTCTCAGTCCCTGAGGCCTGTATGGGGCAGGAAGGCTGTAGGCCGAGGGGCCATTTTGTCCCCAGGCAGGTGGAAGATCAAGGAAAGACCTTCTCCGAAGTCCCCATGGGGCAATATTTGGACCGCGGGGTCTGTAATGAAGGTTCTGTTGTAAACTTCTTTCTTGCAGATGAAGAAACGATGGAATTATTTTTATATAAATTCACTTACATAAATGTTGATTGAATTCATGGACTGATGAGCAAGCCAGTGTTGACTCTGGCTCAGAGAGAAGTGGCTTGGGGCAAAGCAGAGACTGTTAAGTGTTGCATTCTGACCTCAGTCTCTAATCAGATTTTGAGTTTGCAGTTTATACTGCTGTGTTCTTAGATCACAAAAATGTATCAGTGCAGCTGAGCAGCTCTTTCATGGGCGTGGGTAGTCTAATTATGATTTAGCATATTTATATTTTCCTTACAAACTGAAACCCACATACTAATGTGCAGAAATATTACTAAAGTACTGAAAAGTCATTTCCAGTCTAGAGAAGAAATACTTTTTGACCTATTGCAGCCACACATGTTGAAAATAAACCGAAGAGTAAGAAACTCAAGCTCTCTGCAAAATCTGGATTTGCAGAGATAGAACATGGGGAAGAAACGAGAACAGAGGGGTTCTGAGGCTGCAGAGCAGTCGCCGGCGGCTGGCTCTGGGGCTCACTGCAGGGACACCCTGTGCCGGGCCTGGAGCAGGGCAGTGTCATGGACTGGCAGCAGGAGCAGCTGGGGAACATGGAGCCAGCAGCTTTGGGGAGCGTAGAAATGGTCCAGGAGAGGATGAGCAGGACAGCCCCGCCACTCGCTGGTCTTCCCAGCAGCTCTGATTTCCACATTGCCCCGCTGGGTGACGGGAGAGGCGTTTCCGCCTAAGGCTCCAGTAAGCTTCCTGGAAGTCCTCTTGGTGATCAGTATGCACTGAGCAGTGTCTGCACTCCACCAGCTGCATTTTTTCTTCCGTGGACCCCACTGCCCGGGTCCTTGAACACCCTGAGTAGCCCGTGCATTCCCCAGTGCGTCATTGTTATGTCACCAAGACACATAAACATTCTCAAAAATATTCTAAAGCAAACATCTTTAAGGAACAGTGGTCTGCATTTCAGGGTCCCACTCAGAACTGAGAAGAACAAATGATGCATTTCAAGGTCTAAGATGTTTCGGCTGAGGAGTGTTAGCTCTCACTTCCTTTTGTCACCCTGAATAGGTATAATAATGACGAGTGAAGGTGCCCAACGCAGTGTTCATCCACTGGGACAGAAGGAGCCACACCTCATATCTGCAGTAGCATGTGCATAACTTTCCTCCCAAATCACTTGGTCATAAGTAGCTAGAAAACATCTTGTGTTCTACAAAAATAGACTTCTTCAATTTTCTTCTCTATTGCTCAGAATCATTGAAACTAGAGTTTTAAAAGATCTGTAGTTTTATAACTTTCGTTATTTTAAACTATCCCTCCTTTGCCTCAGCTCCCCAATATGAGGGTGCATTTAAGGTGTCCTTTTGATGTTCTCCAGCTGTCCCATGCTAGGCTAGTAGGTTTTATATGCCCAAGTGCTTAGCACTAGAAATAGGAACTGACCTCTGGGTTCCCAGTCCAGGGCCTGTCACTGCGGGTCAAGGTCACCTCCGGGTATTGGAAATCTTGCATAATTTAACTAGAAAGGGACAGGCACCGTGGGTTAACCACAGTGGAATAAAACTATTGCCCAGCTTCATCACTGATAATCCTTTGGGAGTCAAAAATAATTTCACTCCTTATTTTCTTTTTTTAGGTTCCATAAATGAAAAGTTACCCCAAAGGGAAGGCACAGGAAAAACAGGTAACTATCTTAAAATGAAATTTCATGATGATATAATATATAAGCCACTTTAATGTCTTACATAAATTTTCAAATTGAAATTTAGTCATATAGTAGTGACAGTAACGAATGCCCGTTCTTGATGTTAATTCTTTTTACATTCAACAACAAAATATCCAGCCCTTACTGTTCTAAGTTAGCTGGGAAGTACTGAGCACACACCCTACTAGAAAACCAAGGGTTCCCCTGAGAGCTTTCTCAGTTTGCCTTGTATCGGGTGCACTGTGGGTGTGTCATGAGCCTCTGTGTATCAGAGACTATGTAAGTGTGTTACTGTGAACTTGTCAGGGTGACTGGGTGGATGAGGAGCCACATAGGTGTGTCAGGGCCCACTGCAGGTGTGTCAGAGGCCACAGTAGATGCACCAGGGACCACTCTAGGTGCACCAGGGATCTCTGCAGGTATATCGGGGTCCACTCTTTGTCAGGGACCACTTAGGTGTGCCAGAGAACAAAGGTGTGTCAGAATCTACTGTAGGAGTATCAGGGTTCTCTACAGGCATATCAAGGTCTACTCTAGGGGTTACTTGGGAGAGTCTGGATGTTGCCTGGGGACAGGGTGGAGGCTCTACCTAGGACTGTCAACCAGAACAGTCATGGAGGACCTCAAGGATGTACTGCTGGAAGAAGGGGCATTTGCTCCCTCTGCAGCAGTCCCTCCTGTGGGGCCCGACAGGCAGCCACTTTCCCTTGGGAATCACTGGGCCATCTGGGCTCACCTTTTCTGGGTGATGATGTGTTCATGGTGGCTACCAGGTTGGCCCCTGTCCTTTCTGCCTGCCCTCTCCTCTGCTGTCACTGGCTTTCCCAAGGACACACTTCCTCTTTCATCTGACACCAATCTTGAAAGTCAGATGTTTTCTTCCTGATGACAGGAAATTAGGCTTTAGTGCCAATACCTTAGGTGTTTTATTTTTCCTAATGTGGTTATAGTATAATGAGCCAGTAGCAAGGAGCAGTGATGTGAAAACAAATTCATTGAGTTTTATTCTGCCCTTTCTTGATTACATTGGGATGCTGGCGGGCACTGCCCCTGGAGACCATCTGTGAGAGATCTATGCACTGATAAGAAACATGACTGGGTCAGGTGTGAAGAGGCAGAAGGGCAGCACACGAGGACTTAGGGGAGCAGTGCTTTCCTGGAAGAGGACAGACTTCACGCTAACAAGGGTGTGTGGGAGGTAGGGGCAGGTGTAATGGAGAGCAGGGGCAGCCCCTGACGCAGAACAGCAGTTCACAGTCCAGCTAAATGATGACAATGACTGGGACAGTGGCTCTGGGAAGGAAGGAGGGAAAGCTGCCTGGAATACCAGATCAAGCTGTTTGAATTTGAATTGAGGAGATAATTGGGAAGACATTATAATTTTAGGGAAAAGGAAGCGGTAACGTTCCCCATTAGAAGACTGAGCCCAGTGCTGAGAAGGAGGAGAGACAGAAAGACGATCACACGGGTAGCGGGTTCCTCATCCTGTTCATGCAGAGGCACATGGGGGAACCCCTAGGGTGTGGACCAGAAAATAAATTTAAAGCTTTGATCTGCAGAAGTATTTCTTAGAGAAGGGGTACCCAAAATTCAGCAAAAACATTGGCCTACAGATAAAAAAGGAAGCTCGTGAGAAATTCCAACGGCAGGAAAATGAGAGTGCTCGGCTCTCTGAGTTTTTGTTCGGCTTCTGTAGGGTCCAGTCAGTAGCTACCAAGGGCTTGGGCCTGTGTCGGGCGCACTGTCTCACGGGTGAGAGTGAGGAGCAGGCCCGAGGAGGATGCTGGCAGAATGGAGTGGGGGCCCAAGCTTGGGAAAGGCTTCTCCCCGAGCCAGGCTGGCACACCTGCCTAGCCTGGAAATTTTCAGAGGACAGAGACCCATAACTGGGGAGAGTTGGAGGGCCGAGGGTGGTGACCTATGTCAACCTCAGCAAACTGCATACCAGCAACGGCGTGCTTGACTTGCCCTCCCAAAAGACTTACGTATGTCAGTGAAGTGTGTCTTTTAAAACGTTTAATGCCTTAAATGTGTTTTACACACATTCCTCTTTTCACTTATTTTTCTTAGATGACAGCATACTTAATAGCAAAATGGTCCCAGTTCATTGTCATCATCAGTATTAGACCCGGATATTTCAAATAAGTGATGTTACAATTTTGTCATTATTTGGACAGCAAATATCCCCCAGACATTGTTCAGTTGAAGATTTTTGTGAAAATTATCTTTGCCTTTTCTCCCAATAAGCCTTATGAGAAGCTTCATGCTTACTCTTTGGCTTGGGAAGGGGGCTGAGGCACAGGTAGCTAGGTGCTCCCCGGAGCTGGCCGGGTCTGGCACTTTGATGGGGAAGTCCTTGTGCAGCAGAACCTTGTGAGCAGCCAGGGTGAGACTGCAGAGGGCGCTCCGGGAACCCTGGCTCCTTGTCCGCGCTGCCCCTGCAGGGTTGATTGCAGAGGACGGGCCCCTAGAAAGCACTGCTCTCCACTGCCCTCTGGCCGGTGTGGGGCTCTCAACCCTGCACTTGGGCAGGGGACCCAAAGCGTGGTCTTCAGTTAATTATATGAGGCTGGCCCATCTGAAATGCGTCCTCCTTGGCTCCCCGCACCTCAGCCTTGCGGGCACATTATCCATGTAGGGTGCCCTCTCCATGTATCATGCGTCTGCCACAGCAGTGAGGGAAGGCCGAGTGTGCAGACGCTGTTGTCCAGTGCCCGACCCCCTGGTGCTGCCTTTCCGCTTAGGAAAACAGGCACATGAGGACTGGCTTCAGCTGCCACCCAGACCCCTGCCGATCTCTCTCCTATGTACCTAGTGACCTGAGTGCATGACTTTGCTGACCCGGAACTTCCCTCCCAGAATGAGGCTCTGCACTCACGTCTGGCCATTTCTTTCTCACCTGTCCTACCGCCTGGCCTCGGGCCCAGCAGTTTGTACCCACACCCCATGTCCTACGTGGGTGCCTGTGTCTATCCTTGAGCAGCATTTTAAAGCCACAGCCCACCAGTGTGTCCACTCGTGTTCGGGGCCAGTCCTGCCTCAGTGCGTGGTCTGCATGCGGGGGTTGTTGTGGGGTCGGGCATGGGGCTGTGTGGGTCCTGCACTCGTCCTGTATGCACACTTACTTAGCTTACTCTCCTAATTGTAGTCTCCTTGCAAATCTTTTCCGTTCTGAATTCAGATGATGCCGTGGCCCCGGCGCTGGAGACTCAGCCTCAGGGAGATGAAGAAGGTGAGCCCAGGGATGACAGGGCGCTTGGGGAGGCAGGGGAAGGGAGGGGTCCGGGAGCTGGGAGATGGAATCCAGTCACCATGGCCGGGATACCACTCAGAACAGGCTGTGATAAGCCAGGCACACCAAGCGAGAGCCACATGATCTCACTTACATGTAGCATCTAGGAAAAAACTAAACTAAATTGGAATGCTCAGAAAGATAATAGAAAGGTGTGATTACCAGGGATGTGCAGGGGAAATAGGGAGAGGTGATCAGTGATTCCAAAATGCACTTAGGCATTCATGAGAGACCCAGTGTGCAGCCTGCGGAGTGTAGTTAAAAACCGTATATTGTGAAGGGGCTGGGGACTTAACTTAGGGGCGCGGCACCTACCTGCCTGGTCCTGAGTTTGATTCCGGGTGCCCCCTCAAACTATATATTGTGTGCTCAACATTTCTTAATAGAGTCAACTTTCACCACACACACACACACACACACACACACACACACACACTAGCATAGCTTTAGTGAGATGTTGGCTATGTTAATTTGCCTGACTTCAAAAGTCATTTCACTATGTATCTTAAGTACAGATGATAACAAAAAGGCTACAGATGGACGGGATCTGGCCATTTCTATCCCCCATGAGGGTTACTCTATTTTTCCTGATGATTTTAAGTGTTGCCATGTGTTTTCCTGTAGCAGACTGTTAAGATATTTATTTGTAATAGAACCCTGTGGATTGCAATTTTATAATATGGATAATATAAAATACTTCAAGAAGGTACAATACCCCATACCGTTTCCCTGTGCACATTTCACATTTTTATACATAGTCATGATAAGGATAGCTTTCCTATTTTTATGTTTAATAAATTATCTTAGATGTCAGTCAAATTCTTGGGTCAAATAGGATCAGGGTTTGATGAAAAAGTATATGGGATTGCACAGTATAAGTGGATCAAAAGTTAGAATGTAGATGTATGTCACTCTGCAAATAATGACAATCAGAGCTAAGCCCACGTGGCCCTGAGCATGATGTCACGTGCACTCTGCTCAAAATCCATCCCCAGGGTGGGACACAGAGGTGTTGGGGAAGGTCACCTAGATGGCAGTGACAGACAAAGGTTCAAACCCAGGCCCCTTCAGAGTCTGCATTTGTGGGACAGAGTGGTGATCACACCATGTATATTCTATTTTATTTGATAAACAGTATCACTAAAATGGTACATTTCTGAAAAACTGTACAAAAATTAAATTTTAGATTTCACACTTTGTGTTGAACCTTTGCACTGAGTGAAAGCTTGCATGTTATGTGAAAAACCAACCGCCTTTACCCCACAGGATATGTTATTGTACTGTGGACTGTTTTCTAAAACCCAGTTCTTTTAAAGGGGAACTTTCCAGAGTCAAACAACTTTTACTTTGGAAGAAGAAAAATATGTTAAAATATTTTAAGTGATATACTATTATTTCCCTTTGTCTCCTATGTGTACAATCATTTTAATTGTTTCTTTAGAAAGTTACAGCATACATTTATTTGTTCAGTTGATTTGGGGGGTTTGTCGACTGTCTGCTGAAATTTTTAACTGAGCACCTTTTGTGTTCTTTTTTTCCTGATTCACTAGACATTGCCTCACGCTATCCCACCCTTTGGACAGAGCAAGTTAAGAGTCGGCAGAACAAGACCAATAAAAATTCAGGTAAGTGGGGTCTGACATCGCTTTGTAAGGAGTGTTTAGCCCCTGGGGTTTTACCTCCTGAGCCTTAAGTGGACAGGGCCCCTTTTCCTTCAGTACTGCCTGGTGAAAGTGATTCTCATAACTTGACCACCAATGTTTATTTACAAGTTGGTGTTTTATTAAACTTCTTAAGTTCTTCAAATGATTTCTGTATAGATATCAAATAAACTATAGTTTTGGATATAAAAGTGGAAATACTTGTAAATAAGAATTTGTTTTTGACCTCTGACTGACTTAGTTTATAACCGTCCAACCTGGGTGGGCTGTGTTCGCTGTGGAACAGGGTTTGACAGGACTTTTAACTGTACAAATGGCCGTGTTCACGTTCTGGCCATGGGCACCCTCTTTCTGAGTACTGCTGGTCCTGGAAGGTGCCATCCGGTCCTGCCCTCCAGGTCGCTGGTTCTGGGCAGCCGAGGGAGGGAGCTGGGCAGCCCCGGCAGCAGGTAGGGCTGCAGGGGCGGTGGCAGGGATGGCCTGCCCAGGGCTTTTTCTGAGCAGTCTGCCTGCCGAGGTCCCCTGGGCTTTGCCCCCGCCCCTGGCACTGCCAGCCTGAGCCCTTGCGCCTGTCCACCCTTCCCGCACCCTCTCAGGACAAGGTTTCACCACCTGCCACCTCTACCCGTGACGGGGAATTCAAAAGAGACTGACAGATTTTTAATTTTTTCTTACAAGTGGTTTTTAGAGTGCATTCCCCTTATCGTATATAAAGATTCACCCGTGTGCTTGTCTCATAAACTTTCAAAACGGAATTTGATCAGTTGCTTTACCATGTCTCCCAGTAATTTGATTTGCGTCCGTATCATAGAGAAGACGGCATCAGGGAAAGAGTAAAAGCCGCAGATTTCAGTCTCGAGCTGCTGGTCACAGCTCAAAGCTCAGTGGGAATCGATGTGGCCATTTGTGACCAATGTGGCCATAACCTTCCAGTCCCTGGAAGCCTGTGTGTGCTCAGCATTCTGCATTGTTATCTGAAAACTGCTGCTGATTTTGCAGCTTTCTTTGCGCAGAAGCTCAGAGAACGAGTGCATTTTTGCTTCATCTCCCTGTTGCCAGATTTCTAAGCTGTTAAGTGCCTGGCTGATTATAATTAACCCATAAAACTTGCACTGGCTCTCAGTAGGTAGCGGGGCTGAAAATAACATTTCAGGGGATTGCAGTTTGCATCTGTTATCCTGCGCTATAATCTGACTTAACTCTGCTTATGTGAGTAGGGTACAAAAAGATGACATTGGCTGATTCACGGGTACAGAGCATGAAACTCTTCCACTATGTTTGTGTGAAGCACCACGGTGCAGCTGCAGGTTTGTTATGAGGGTCTGAAGAAAGTCAGACCTTGTAGGAATTTCAGGACGGTAAGGATGAAATAATTGGTTACATTTTTCTCAGTGAAACAGGAAATGATAGTAGGATTTATGTCACAGCCACTGTTATTATTGACATTTCAAGCACCAAAAGAATGTTATTTGCATTTCATTTCTATTTTTAAAGATACTTTTATTCATAATCATCTTTGGTTAGAAATAGGTACATGTATTTAAGAAAACAGTTTGGGATTCCATTATTCTACATTTTTAAGATCATTACCCGGTTCGTCAGTAGTCTGTCACGTACTTCAGAAAACCCCAAAGTAGGAATGCATTGCATATTTTCCTTTGATGCTTCTTTTATGAGCCAAAAGTAATATTTTCCCACATTAGTTTGAACTAAAATATTACTTTTGTTAGAAAATACATAGACTATGGCACTGTGCATCGTAACACATAGTGAGCATGCACCAGGAGGTGCGGTCAGATGTGCTTTGGAGCAGCTTTTCAGAAGAACCCATTCATACAAAAGAAAAGAAAATGTAGTCCTCCTCGGCATGAAAATTTGTACATGGCAGCTACTCCATAAAGTTCATTTACTACATTCATAAGGAGTGTTAAGATCATGTGCTCTATGGCACACATTCTGATAGTACTGTTCTTATTTTCCTCAAACAAATTTAACAAAATAAAGAGAAATATAATCAAATGGATAAATAACTAAAAAAGGGAGATAACTAATTGTCATTAGTTATTTCGGCATTTTGATCACTGGGCTTATAATGATTGAAATTCAATAGAAATAGAAATATACATGGCATAGTCTTTTCTTTCTGTAAGCAAAACATTCCTTTCACTGTGAATTAATATATGTTAAATAAATGAGAAAACATGAAACTCCTTCTTACTTAAGAATGTATTGTTTAGTGCTTCTAATCATTCTAAATTTGAGTGTTAAACTTCTTTACTCTCTTGAATCATTGTACTGGGTTTATCTTATTCATAAAAAATACCTGAATACGGAAGTCTATCAGATAGGAGATAGAGTTTTACAAGATTCTTTAAATTATAGACAGTTATTCACATCTCTATTTATTAAGCACATGTAAATGTAGTCCGTGCTCTTCACTGTGACATAGTAACTATTTTCCAAATCTCTTCCTCATTTCCTTTAAAATCAATCTAGAACATTAAAGAGGGAACTACAATACTTTTTCCTGGTTGGGCAATCTATTCACTTCACAAATGAACATCATTCACAAATCACAGACACCAGTATACTCTGGGTTTCACAGCCATCCTGAATAGGAGACGTTCTCTGCCCTGGTGTGTAACTTTCTTAAATTCATGCCAAAACACGAGTCTCAGTTTTCACCCACTGATCGGCATTTGAGGTGGTCCTGTCACAGGTCTGTTTATACCGGAGGGATGCAGAAGAAGCAGTAAGTAGGTGTGGGACCCCAAGACACATGTGTGAAAATGGCTTGGTACCAGGCTAGTGGCCGTGTCCTGCCAGGCTGTGATGTCCGCCCCTGGACCAAGGGGGCAGGGAGGGACAGTGGGCATCAGGGAGGCACACAGTCCACTCCAGAACCCACCAGCCCATACCTCACCGAGGACGGAGCAAACTGCCCACCCCAGAACCTTGCTCAGTGCTCCTGGCTGCTGAGGGCGAGCCCTGACCCCGGAGTCCGCTCTCTTTACTCCTGGGCCACATGGAGCTTTGTCATGTGAGAGCATTTGCTTCCTCCCACCCCGCCCAGCTCTGCCTCTGGTGGGAATCTGGTGGGTTCTCAAAGGGAAAGGGAGTCTCTGGGGCAGGGACATCAAGAGGAAGTTGCAGCGGCACCTGCTGATAACAGAAAGGACTGCACCTAGCGGGGGGGTGAGCATCACTGTCACCTGGCTCAGTACCACCAGGCCACCCCCTTATTTCAACTCTTTCCTCAGACCCCGTGGTGATGCATCTTCTTTACAGCCTGCAAGGGATGGGCCTATACCTGCCATCCAGTGAGGACAATAGCTCGGGTGTTCGGCAGCTACTCCAAGGGGGAGAGAGAATGCATAGGTGGCAGAGTGGAATGCATGAGAGGAACTCACCAGGTCTCTGTCCAGCTCTCCCAAGTCAGAGTTCTGAGGGACCCTGGTCCAGGGACTCCCGAGTGTGAGCACTGTGTGGGAAGGTGTCGGCTTTGTAGCCCCGGGGCTGACTCCTGCTCTGGTCACGGCTCGCTGGCGATGACTGCCCTTCAGCCCTACAAACCGGATGTAGGTTCCTAGCACAGCAGCCTCACTCTCCCTCTGTGGAGTCATCTGCTCCAGCAATCTCCTCTCCAGGGTGCTCTAAGGACAGCACTGGCCCATGCACAGTCCTACGAGGTCTCATTCCTGTCATGGGAATGGGTGAGCATTGTGCCCCCTGAGGAGTTTGGACAGGTTGCGATCTGTCGTTCAGGAGAGGATTTTTCAACTCTAGGCCAGACTTGATCTAGACTCACAAAGACAGCTCCTGGTTGGGGGCTTCATGCTTTGACCAGGCCTGGTGGGGGAAGGAGAGGGAGTGGCCTTCTCAGGACCCCCAGGACTCTGAAAGAGACACACTTGACCAGCACTCATTTCTAGAAGAAAGTGGAGGCCCTGGAGTTCATTCCTGGGCACCCTCTCCACCAGGTGAATTTACTCTCTCCAGAGTCCAGAAATCTCAGGATAGCAGAGTGCATTTCCAGGACCTGTGTGGCTGGCCATGGTGCCTGTCACCTGGACAAATGCCACCCAGGGGTCTTGGGAAGCTGGGCTATGGTTGTGCTGACCACTTGGGTTAATGGTCTCCCAGTCCAGCTGCTTGTCCTACACAAGGGTGGGTCTCATCCAGTCAGGGCCAGGGGGACCAGCGTGCCATTCTGGGGACTTGGTGTGGGTGCAGAGCAGTGGATAAACTCTGCTGCCTATTGCTTAGGGCCCCGTATCAGAAGTCAGAGGCAGTTGAGTGGAACATGGGTGGGGCACTTCCTTAGGCTCAGATTGTAGCATGTGGGCCCAGGTCTCCCCGGCTGAGGAGGGGGAGCAGTGGCCCTTGCCTGGACCCACCTGGTCAGCAGGCACCTCATGGGGCCGTGGCGCTTCCTCCTGGACTCACAGCAAGGGTGAGTGCAGGGAGTAAAAAGTCGGATTAGGGCAGTAGGCGTCTTGTTGCATTGTTTATTTGACATCTGATGTTGGTGATGGTGTCTGTTTTCTCTCTCCTTCAGTGTCTCTTCCAAACGCTCTGTCTTTCCTTGCAGTCAGAGGGAGGGTTGAGCGTTTGCAGGCCTCCTGAGAGAGCCCTGTCGTTGCCCTTTTGCTGCAGAGCTGGCCACACTCTGCCTCTGTGACCTCTGGGAATCCTCGTGGACACAGGCTGGCCTCCCTGCCCTCTGGCCACCTCTGGCTTTTCTGGCCTTTCCATTTGCTGTTTCTCTAGAGTTTGCTCGTGCACCGGAGGAAATATAGAGACCCGCACTGTGTCAGCGGTGGAAATCCTCCTCCTCTTGGAACAGAAAGCTGCCTTCCTCCCTAAGCCATTAAATGCAGCTCTGCTTTATGTCCAGGAAGACAGCCTTGATGTTCAGGGTGCCCCGCAGCTTTAGAGAGCCCCTCAGTGGAAAGATTCTTTTG